GCACACAGGAGGCAGACAATCGATGTTCTCTCTCATCTATGTTTCTGTCTCTCTCTAAAATTCAATAAAGAAAAAAAAATGAAGAAAAAAAAAAGAATAGCATGCATAAGACATAGGGAAAATTCAATAAATATGCCATTTTCCAAATTAATAAGAAGTTCATAATGACAGGAGACTCCAATTCCTTTCTTCGCCATTCCACAGAAAACTGTTGCCTGCCAGGGAATGTTCTAAGTATGGGCAAAACAGTGGAGTGAATAAATGAAAAGTGAAGGAGTTGGGGTCCTCTGTCCTATAGAGAGTGGAATTCTGTGACTCACTAAAGATCTGAGCCATCTATTTTTTTTTTTTTTTACTTTTTAATTACACAAGTTATCATGTAAATCTACCTGAAATATTTTAAAAGCAAACTCCCAGAAATGCCATTCCACAGGGGTACACCGAAGAGAGAGAGAGGTCTCTGCTCAGTGTATAGTTGAGAATTCTCATAGTTAGAGCAGCTCAATAGGGAAAAAGATGCCTGGCAGAGACATAAATGGACATCACTGGACACACGGGGATACGCGGAAGCATCTTTGGGGCCTCCTGGAAGGAGGGCTAGAAATGAGGTTGCCAGTAAATGACCTGAGAGTTTTTCTGTATCCAAAATTCTACTTGGTTCCCCTTGTGTACAGGAAACTCTACTATAAGTAAAGGGGAAAAGACAGACAGAACAGAAAAACAGGTTTTGCTTACGTTTATATTAAGAATACAGTTTATAGGAATGGGCCAAGGACATTTCTAAAATGAGGTGAAATTTAATTTAAAATATAATTTCCCCTCATTAAAACATATTCTATTGTACCTTTCTTACCTGCTGTGTATTCTGTTGTTTAAGAGTTGCTGAGTAAACATGAGGACCCGGAGAAATGTTGGCACATTTCAGAAGGCTTTGTCGTGGTGGGTCTGCGACTCACTCTGCCTTTGTAACTAGTGAGCCCTCCTTGGGGTACCAGATCCATCTGGGTAACTTCCGCCGGCTGCTGGTGGTAGGCTCTTCTTACTGCCTCATAAGACTCCAGGCACAGTGGAGCACTACAAAGGAAAGGACAATTATTACTTCCATCTTCTAATAAAATGTGACAAATCAAACAGCTGTTACTAATACTCACAATATTAATTTTTCTTATCTCAGGCTTTTAAAGTTTGAAAATCAGCCTGGGGGAGAGATTGGATTCTTCTTCCTCCCCCACCCCCATGCTGGCCTAAACTACTAGGTTACTAGTATTTTTCTTTTCTCATTGGTATTGAAGAATAATTAACTAAAAACCATGTAGAATCAGGTAAGCTACCTGAGGCAGAGACTTTTTCACAGAGTCTCTTCTGATCACAGCAGCAGGCCCAGTGCCTGGACAGTACACTGAATGCAGTAGGTAGTCGGTCAGTGTCTGTGTCACTCAGGGATAGATTGGTCAGCAATCAGAAACTGTTAAAAGACCTTTGGGAATATTTCTTCATGTGATTTTCCCTGAAATAAATCACTGAAATGATTAGAAGGGCTGATAAATCTACTATTTCCTTTCATTGGTGTAACTTGTCCCCTCTTATATAAGAATTTATATACTTTTAGAAAACTCCCCAAATTCGGATCTTGTTAGGCATGTCCTCATGATTCATCTGTAGATGTCCCTGAGCACAGAACGTCCCTCTCCACGGGGCTGTCATAAGTGACACGTCGCAGAGGAAGCTGATGGCTGTCCCTCTCATCATCCGTCTCTACCATGTTTCTGACAAGCAGCCCACTGTTTTCTGAATAGTACTGGTGATGAAGTGCTCACCCCTTCCCGAGGCTGCTTACTTCCCTGGGGGAACTCCCTAAACGTTAGCCATTCCCTTTACTCAGAACCGAAATCTCTCCCTCTAACCCTTGCTCCTATGGCCTCCTCCCTCCTCGGAATCAACATAGACGAAGTCTCCACCCTCGTCTCTGGGACCACACTTCAGCTTCTCCTAGAGAGGCTGTTACTTCATCTTCGTCTTCTCTGCGCTAAACTGCGCCTGGTTTTATGCTCACAATAACAGCAATAGCTATTATTTTTTTATGCCCCTACTTATATAAAAGTTCAGTTTCAAGGATTTTAGATGAGAAAACTAAGATCCAAAGAGGTCTGGTAATTAACCCCCAATCACAAGGGCCATTCTGTGGGTGAGCAAACTGCAATTTAAACCGTATCTGCTTGATTCCAAAACCTGGAAGCTTATTTCTACTTCAGTAGCTATTTATCCAGCTACTGAATATCTAACTTATCTCACAACAAAAATCCAGGCACTAGGAATACAAATGGGAATTAGCTGGCCTCTCTTTGGTTTGCTCAGTCTAGTGGGACAGAAGAGACACAGTTACAATGGACTCGGGTACAGGGTGGTGGCTGCCACCGAATCCTACCTCCTCGGCTTGCACACAGGCCATTGGGGCAGGCTCCCCGTACTTCTCCCTGATGTAAAACCAGACTGTGCTGCTCATCTACTTCAAAGGGGCTTTTCTGAGGGCTGAATGGAAGAACACATGTAAAGTATTTGGATACAGTCCTTGGCACATAAAAATAAATCATAGCTTCAGTTCTAAATGAACAGGATGCTCTGGGATCACGAAGGAGGGACACCCAATCCTGCCTGGAGACAGGTGGCGGGGAATGGAAAAAGGGGGACATGAGGGGGTGAGGGAATACTTTTCAGGGCAATTACACCTGCAGTAAGCCATGAAGCCCTGGTGAGAGCTGGTGAGGTAAAGCCGGGAGTGAGGAGGGGAGAAGCTTTCTAAGTAGAGGCTGAGACCTTGCCCCAGGACGGTGGAAAGTAGCAGGAGTAGAGTTAGACGATTGGAAAGTTGGCGAGCCCTAGATGTGGAGAGAGCTGGACGTCGCATTGTAGGCTTTGACATCGTGCCTCTGGCCAGGATGTGGCTGGGTGGGCAGAGGTCATTGAGCAGTGTTAGGTAATTCCTCAAGTCTTTTCTGGGTGGCTTTTTAAGCCGTGAGAAGGAGCATGGGTCTGTGGAGGATGGGAGATGGGAGACCCAGGTAAGAACGAGGGCGTTTGTACCGGAATGGAACAGGAATGGAGAGGCGAGGCAGGCTTAAGAAGCAGTTAGGAGGCAATAACAACGGGATGTTGTGATGGGAGAGGGAGTCAGGAATAACATAACAGTCCTGCTGCAGTGTGGCCGTGGAGGTTAGACGCCAGCACCACCAGCGGAGGGAGACGGGAATCCTGGCGCAGCGAGGCTGGGAGCTGTGATGAGGTGCGTACGGAATACTGAGCGTGTGATATCTGCAGGAGTTTAACGTGTGAGTCTGAAGCTACGAAATGCCTGGGCCAGAGATGTGGATTGGACAGTTACCAGCATGTGAGAGATTGCTCCTGAGAGAGGGGTGCAGAGCACATAGGTAGAGATCTCTGGATGTGCGTGACTGTTTTGTTTTCTTAAAAAAATTTTTTCTTATAGACTTTAGAGAATGAGGAAAGGAAAGGGAGAAAGAGAGAGAAACATCGATGAGAGAACATTGATTGGCCGCCTCCTGCACGCCCCCAACTTGGCATCTGGCCCACAACCTGGGCATGTGCCCTGACCAGGAATCGAACCGGCGACCTCTTGGTACATGGGTTGATGCTCAACCACTGAGCCACACTGGCCAGGCTATTTTTATTTACTTTTTATTATTTTTTAAAATAGTTTTTAGTGATTTTTTAGAGAGAGAGGGAGGGAGGGAGGGAGATAGAAACACTGATGTGAGAGAGAAACATCAATGCTGCCTCCTGCATGCCCCCCACTGAGGATTGATCCTGAAACCCAGGCATGTGCCCTGACTGGGAATCGAACTGGGACTTCTCAGTCCATGGGACAACACTCAGTCCACTGAGCCACACTGGCTGGGCTGCATGACTGGTTTTAAATTTTGCTACACCTGTTTCCCATTTGATGGGGAGAATTTGTATTAACAATACAGCCTCCTGGATTCTCCTGCGTAGACAAGCTACTGGCCTGGAGGAGAAAGAAAGGGAATGTGGTTTTATAAGATAAACTATTCTGAAGAGAGCAGTACAAATTTCCTTGCAGAGTTGGCAACTGTACCCTAAGAACTCCAGTGAGCGTGTTTACCTGTCAGACATGGATCCCCCCTACGTGCTGTCTTTCGAATACACGTCTTTCCAGTTTGAATTATGTTGTTTTCAGGCCAAGGTTGCTCGCTCTCACCATAGTGGCGGAAAATTCTCCAGAAGTCTTCTTAGAAATACTTCTTAACTCCCTCAGTGGGATCTGTGGATGACTAAGGCATTCGTGAGGGCCCAGGCCTGGGAAGAGTGGGAACCTGGGCGTCAGATGGGGTCCACCCAGGAGTCTGCTGCCCGTGCCGTGGGCCTGCGGGCAGAGCTGAGCCCTCCCTGAGCCTCAGTTTCCTCCTCCGGGGCCGGGTGGCGATGTCTGCTTTGCTAACTGATTCTAAGTGTGAGGTGAACAGCAGGCACAAGGCTCCGGCTTGTCCTGGAGGCCCAGGTACTGATCACTCTGCCAACAGGAGCACCACCGTCATTGTTTGCTTTGATTGCAGACATTTGGACTTTAACTGGGGATAAACTTGTATTAGAAGTCAGTTGATAATAACAACTCTTTGACCACTTTCGGTCCAGTAACTGATTCGATCCTCACATAACACAGCGAGGGGCAGGCATCGGGCAGCCACGCCACAGATGAGGCCGGCTGCGGGGTTCGGTGACTGGCCCAAGGGGCCGCATTGTGGAAGCGACCAGACTAGAGTCGCAGACTCCTCAGAACTCCTTTGCACAGCCCCTCAAATGAGGTCTTGATTATAGGCTTCGCAAGTCGGTGTTCGGATGTTTCCAGAATCCGTGTAGAACACACGTCCATTCATGGGTTGGCAGGAGGTCTGACTTGAGGGAGGAAGGTCTGAAGACTGCGCATGCTCCGTCACCAGAGTCCTAACCACCTTGTCTCATTGCAGCCTGCGAGGTGGAGGCGGGGAAGGTGTACCAGGTGTCCTCCACGGAGCACGTCCAGCCCTTCAAGGAAAACATGGAACGGTTCATCGTCCAAGGTAAATTCCCAAGAGAGGGTCTCCGCTTCCCTCCCTTTTCCGCAGGGCGGGGGGGCACTTAAAAAATAACACACTGGTTTAAAAGGGATCAACATCACAAAAAACAAATTCTATTTAATCATGAGTCATACAGTTGTGAGAGACTAGCAATTTGCTCAACATGCGATTTTGTGAATAATGTTCATTATTACCATTTTTTTCTTTCATGAAAGTAAATATAACAGATATGGCTAAAGCCTATTTATAAAGACTTTAAAATTGGTATACTTGTGGGTGGGTGTGATATCCTTCTAGCCATATCCTTCTAAGTTTTAGCTATGCTTATGACCTCAGTTCAACGTGGTATTTATTTGGTTGGTCAAAATTTTGTATCCAAACACAAAGTATATTGATGTTTTTCAGATTTTCAAAACATTATATGCTGCTGCTATTGTTTTGTTTTGTTTTTTATAGGATGTATAAATTCCTTTGGATACTTAATATCGTTTTTCCCAAGGAGCTTAAAAACTTGACCAACATTATCTCATTGGTTCTTCCTATATTCCTTTCAGTTAAGCAGGGATGAACATTTTCAGAAGATATTAAAGTAACAGTTTGTTTAAAGAGAAAAAAATCTATTAAAAAGTCTTGCTGTTTAAAATCACTGAAACTTACAATTATTTCCATGCGTTCACTACTCAAAATGTTTCATCTTTGGAATGTTCCACGTCTTCTGTAGATTTGTCATGTGCTTTGGAACAGTGTTTGCGGTTTTAGGAATTCGCACAGAGGCCGACGTGGCTCCTCTTCATTCTCTGCTGCACTGTGGTTTTCATGGGTTGTTCAAGTGTCGTTAATGATGGTTTACAATGAATGAGACATGCTAGAATTTGATTAAACATTAAGTACAGCTTATTTTTAGATGGGAACAGACTACTTAATAATTTAATGAGTCCTGGCTGGTTTGGCTCAGCAGTTAGAGTGTTGGACCACACACCAAAGGGTCTCGGGTTTGATGCCCGGTCAAGTGCATGTACCTGGGTTGCAGGTTTGATCCCCAGCCCTGGTTGGGGGTCTATGGGAGGTAACCAATCAATGTGTTTCTCATGCATCGATCTTTCTCTCTCTCTCTCCCTCTCACTCCCTTCCACTCAATCTAAAAAAATCTATGGGAAAACTCCTTGGGTGAGGATTAACAAAAATAAATAAATAAATAAAAAATATCAATTTAATAAAAATCATGAAGATTGAAACAGCACATGAAACAGAATATGAAATAGATTCCTAGGTCAAGGTGATTGTCCTTTCTAAATTTTCAGGTCCTCATGACTGAGACTGGAAAATCTACTCACTGGTTCCTAAGTAGGACTTCCACTGAAATCACAGTCCTGTAGTCACATATTAGAGGACCCTGTAAGCTCACTCCACTCTTAACGGTGAATAAAAATGAGTCCTGCTTTTTCCATTCAGTGTGGTTTTAGGATCAAGAACATGTAATTTTAGAAAACTACGTAGGTAAAAGGATGGAATATTTTTTTGTTTGTTTGTGGGAAGGAAGCAGCCCTGTTCCTATGACTCAGTAAAAAAAGAAGTCAAGCAATTTGCTAACTTCCATGTCTAAAATGTTGATGAGCGTCACCCATATAGTTGTTCACATGACATATGATTTATTAAATAATATTCTCCATCTGTATTTTGGAGACCAGTCATTGAAATTTTCTTTATAACAATATTTTAGTCATTTTTTGAATGAATAGCCAAGTTAAATTTTGAAACCAGGATGGAATTTCTAGATGCAGGATTGAACATTATATAAGCAACATGATTATTGAGTGAATGTGGTCACCTAGGAATTTGGGGGAAGAATTACATTTACAGGACACGCAGAGAAGCCCCCACAGGTGTTAGTATTTAGAGAGGTCAGAGGAAAACTAAGAGAGGCTGTTGTAATGGAGGCCAGAGTTCGGAAGTTTCAGAGAGGAGGAAATCATTGTAGTGGTACCTGTTCATGGGTGGAACACCTTTTTTGGGGTTGCCATAGGCAAAAATCAATTTTCTGAGCTTTCAACATTTAAGAAAAGTGAAGACGTAGAAAGACATAATTCTGCAACAATTTTAGAATTTATTGTGGTGGCCCAGCCAGTGTAGCTCAGTGGTTGGGCATCAACCCATGCACCAAGAGGTCCCCGGTTCAATTCCCGGTCAGGGCACAGGCCCAGCTGTGGGGCAAACCCCCAGTGGAGGGCACGCAGGAGGCGGCCAATCGATGTTCTCTCTCATTGATGTTTCTCTCTCCTTCCCCTTTCCTCTCTCTCTGAAATCAGTAAAGAACAATATATTTTTTATGAAAAAAAAAGAAGTTATTGGGGGGTAACTATAACTGATGCATAGTTGTTTAATCTAAATTTAACTGTTTAATCCAAATCACTATAATTTAGCTATCTCTCATGTATGCCGGCATATGTGATGATTTTCTTTGTGTGTGTGCATTATGAAGAAAACTGACTGGTTATCTCTACATGATTATTGAGCACTTATTTATAGTTTTTGTTAAATTTTATTTCGTGCCTCTTTTTTTAAGTTGCTGAACATAAGAGGCGAGAATGATGAGCTTAATGAGGCCACTAGGGAACTTCATGCTTTGCTAAAGTTCTCTCAAAACTTGGCACACGCCTTACTTTTTATTTTTCCTCTTTCCTTTTGAATCCAAGTTGTACTCTGGACAAAGTGTGCACATGAAAATCATTGCTGAGCTCTGAAGGACCTTAGGAGGGACGGATTGACTTTTCACACGTCCTGCACACACGAGGTTGCTGGGAAAGGACTAGGCACCCAGCTCTCTGTCACTGGCCTTCACAGCCTTTCTACTCATATGCTATATTTTACGTGTATATTTTAAAACTTCAGCTTAACTGTGTGTTTTCTTGTTTTCCGTTTTGGTTGAATGGCAAATTTAAAAAAAAAAGAAAAAGAAAAAAAGTAAAGGTAGTTTCTCTCCAAGCTATTAAGTCCCTATTGTGATTTTATACATCAGAAATGACCGATAAGATTGTCATTAGCCTCGCTCTTCATTCCCCGACCCCCTTGCTTTTCAAACATTTCTTCCTTCGACGAAGCCTAGTGAATTTGAGCTGATCTAGAGGGATAGAACCAAGATGGAAATATGTACATCTGTAATCACATGCATATAATTTAAAGGGTATTGAAGCCTCAACTCTTAAATATACAGCCTTTAGTACTGGTCATACTCTGCTTGAGAATGAGGAGATGCTGAACCTGTTGGTAGTAACTGTGCCAAAGACTGAGAGGTCTGCTGGGAGTATCTGCTGTCAGAAATGGTACCCGTGGTGCCCTGGAAGCTATGAGCCATATTCACAGTGAGCATGTTTGGTGGTTTATTTTCTTCTTTTCTGAAAGTATCATGAGAGCTACTTTTAGCGATGGTAAAAATATAAGAAGAATTTGATTTTTCAAGTAATCTTTCACTGACCATTTAAAATTGAAAAAGAAACTTAACTGTCTTTTAAGAAAATGTTTCACTTGTTATCAGCATGATAACAATAATAACAATATGAAGCATTAATAAAAGTTACCTAGCCCAGCCGGTATAGCTCACTGGTTGAGCATCGACCCATGCACCCAGAGGTCACAGGTTCAGTTCCTGGGCAGGACACATGCCCAGGTTGTGGGCCAAATCCCCAGTGGGGGGTGTGCAGGAGGTGGCCAATTGATGTTCTCTCTTTTTGATGTTTCTATTTCTCTCCCTCTCCCTTCCTCTCGCTCTCAAGTCAATAAAAAAATATTTAAAAATAAGTTAGCCAGAGCCCTTTGGTACTCCATGTGGTTTAGTTCCATGGGTCTTCAGGATGAGCCAAGCAGACATTGCTGTCCCATTTTACAGTAAGGAAACTAGGGTTCAGAGGGTTCAAAGCTTGACTAGAAAACACAATAGATGGAACCAAGACCTTTTATGAGAGGTTGGAGCTATATTTTATATAATTTAATTTAAAAACTGTTAGAATATAGTTGGGGACGCCAAGAGGAAAACAGGACCACTTTTGTATTCTTGCAATACACACAATGACACCATGCACCAAGCTTTTACCCTTGACATATTGATAAATGATGATTCCATTTCGGATCCCAGGGTCCCCTTTCTGTCATTCTGAACGTCTGAGAGGAGTGGATTTGACGTGACTCTTTTGTATCACCACTTCCATATCCCCACTTCCCTTTGAGGTTTGCATTTCAACAGCCGCGGCCGTTCATTCCACAGCACTTGATGAGAAATGATCAAAGACCTCTGAGGAGGGACTGGAATCGATTACACGTGAGCGTCGCTGCCTCCTGCGTGTTTCCAGTTGGGTGCTCCCACTGACACCCTGAGCTAAACATTCCATCGTGTGCTCCAGGCTGGATCCTCAGTGCCCAGTGTAACAGACTCCAAATACATCTTTCTTTCTTTGTTAATCTTCACCTGAGGATATTTTTCCATTGTTTTTTTTTTTTTTTTTTTTAAAGTGGAAGAGAGAGAGAGGGAGAGAGAGGGAGCAATATCAATGTAAAAGAGACATGCCTCCCGCAGGACCCCAACCAAGGCCGGGGATCAAACCCACAACCCAGGTATGTGCCCTTGACTGGGAATTGAACCCACAACCCTTTGGTCCAAGGACTGACGCTTTAAGTGCTGATCCAAGCTGGCCAGGGCTAAATATTTATGAATGAACGTTCACCCATGTGATTGTCTAAGAAAGGGACCATGGCCTCATTTATTTTTAATTAATGAGTGAGAGAAATAACATTTAAATAATACATCTCCTCTAAAATTCAGGTATATAATGGGATGTAAGTTGTCTTAGTATTACTTTTCCTCTACTTTCACCATGTTTATTTTTATTATTTTTTTTAACTAAGGTGGGTAAATGCCTTTGAAAGAAGAGTATCATCTATAAAAATGTGTAACAGTCAGTGAACTCTCAATAAAAAAATACAAGACAAGATCTATGTATGTTAAGAAAAAA